TCAAAGCGTCAAGTTCTCTCTCAAGTCCTTCTATGTGAGGGATGATGATCTATTTATAATGTTATGGGTGCAATTAATGCAGAAATAAGGACTATTTTGATCAGACGGTCCAGAGAGTACTTTAACGATGTCAGAATTGAGCAATCTTGGGCTCGTTGGATTTGTCTTGTCGATACACTCGATTCGACTATGAACTTTCTAGATTCAACATTCGTTTGATTTTCCAAATTCCTCCGGAAATTTTCCAAGAGTTGTTTAATGATTTGATCTGAGCTTGATCTGACTCGGATTGGACTAGTTTTTATATCATTGGGTCTGTCTCATCGAGCTAGACAGTTTGACTATAAGTTTACTGAAATTGGAGCTCTGGATGACTCTTAATTGAAGTTTGAATGTTTCTTGCTCAAAAAGTTACCTCGAGATTCGTGATGGATGATGGAACTTTATTGGTGTTGTATCAAACTTAAAAAAAAACTCCATGACAAAAGTTTTGAAGAAACTCACAAAAATCTGAGGCATGAGTCTCATCAATCTTGGAGAAACTAACAAAAATCTTTCCTCAGTTTCTATTTTCTGTTGCCTATAATTCACTCTATTAATGCTAGAATCTTGGGATTTAAATCATTTTTGAAATTATGTCAAGCTAGTTTAACTAGATTAGTGCCCTAGATGTTTTTATGCAGAAATAATTATTAGACTTTCCTTGTGCATACTCTTAAACCGCATACTACTTGACACGTGCACTTGCATTGTATGATCTACTTACTCTGTGATAAGTTTTAATGAGACACCATCATGTTTTCTTTGATTTTTAATTCTTCATTTAATTAGTCCACCTTCAATTGTGAGTCTGATTTTACTATAAGGTATTTGCATCCATCTAGTACGAAAGTGAAGTTCGACAATTAATGTTTCATATTCATTTTTTTTTTTTGTGACTCAAAGCCTAACTTCAAACAAATGGCAGAGGACTTCGGTCTGATTAGTCAAAACGAGACCGAGTCCTGCCTCTATTTGGCTTGATGCTTTGTCGATGCAACGTCCAGGTCTGGCTTTCAGCAAGTGCTTCTTCATTCGTTTGGCTCCGAAAAAAATATATCAAGAAATTTCTTATCATACACAACACCCAATTATTATCTATTTATCTATCTCACACCCAAACTCTCATTTTTACAAACCAAACACTCCACGTACCTTTCTAACAGTGGAATCCACATTTTCATCCACAAATAATGTGCTGATTTTGTAAAAATTTGAATTTGGGAGTCAGATATGTAAATGCATAAAAATTGTCTGCTGTATATGTAAATTTCGTTTTTTTTTTTTTTTTTGCAGGAAAAAAAATCAACAAATTTGGGATTTAAATAAGTGAATAATCTACCTTACACAATAATTATAAAGGAGGTTCATCGGTAACTTCTGAAATCAACTGAATTCTAATAAGATTTTGAGTTCGTGTTTTGGCTCGAAATACTACTCATCAAGTTTATATA